CTTAAGTACTTGAGGTACACCCTTGAATACGGGCTCAAATACTCGAGATATCCAGCCGTACTTGAAGCCGTACTTGAAGGGTACTGTGATGCAAGCTGGATATCAGATTCGAGAGATTCTCGCTCCACTAGCGGATATGTTTTCTATATTGGAGGAGGTGCAGTTTCGTGGAAATCCACAAAACAAACGTGTATAGCTCGGTCAACGATGGAATCGGAGTTCAAGCTGGTGAAGAAGCCGAGTGGCTTAGAAATTTTTTATCCGATATTCCATGTTGGGATAAGACTTTGCCGCCTGTGATGATTCACTGTGATAGCCAAGCTGCTATTGGTACGGCGCAAAACAACTTGTATAACGGTAAGTCTAGACATATTCGTCGTAGACATAATATCGTACGTCAATTGATCACAAATGGTATTATTTCCATTGACTATGTGAAGTCTAAGGAAAATTTGGCTGATCCTTTGACGAAAGGATTGAATAGAGATCAATTGACAGTTTTGCTAGAGGGAGTGGGCTTAAAAATCCACAATTTAAAGAATGATCATAGTGGTAAACCCTACCATGCTGAGTGGAGATCCCACAAACTTGGTTCAAAGGGAAAACTAAACTATGAAAATTCAGTTGAGCACTTGGAACATATGAATGTCCAAAGCTATTCTAGAGCACTCCAAATGCAAGATTACCTGTTGATTGTGGTGAGGTTAAGTCATGTTGACTTTTAATGAATCCCTAACCTTGTAAAGGTGGAGTATTACAGGATACTCTTGATAGGGAGGTCACCTATATAAGTGTGAAGTGTGGCCCGCTTCAAATATAAACACTTATGAATTCATTGTGTTGTCCATGGCCAAAATGGACACAACGATAGAACGGAATGGAGTTAAGACTCTATTGTGTGAATGTCATTATCTAGGTGTACACTATGGAGGAATAGTTCAAGGCATTATGTCCACTAGGCCACCAGTACATCCGATGATGTTTACTAAGAAAAGTTCAAAGCCAAAAGCTACATTTTCTGATGCAATAGTGTTTTGTGAGAATTGAGCACAATAATTTGTATATATGTGTAATTCTTTATTTTCTCTTTTGTGGGGAATTGTTAGAAAAAGATAAAATAAATGGGGCTAAGAACATGCCAACCTGCCCACCAGCTACTCTCCCACATGTCAAGATGCTTCAATTGCACTTGCCCATGTGAATTTTCATTAAAATAAAAAAAAAAAATTAAAAATTGCAAATTGGAGGGGAAACCGCGTGGAGTAGTTGGCTAAATGGCCAACTTGATCAATATCTCCATCTATAAATACTCAGTTCGGGCAAGAGGAGAAGACGAACCAAACAGAAGCGAAAAATCTGAAAGAAAGAGAGAAGAAAGAAAGAGAAAAAGATAGAAAGAAAAATATATGTCCAAATATCGGATATAAAAATATCAAAAGAGAAGAAACAAGTGATATTTTTATTTGTTTCAGAATATTCCTTTTATTTCTAAGTGCTCAATTCTCGATTCCGTTCCCGTTCACCGGAGCTCGTAAATCTGGTGTGCTACAGATTTAGAGACGTTTGCCGTTGTATCTTTGGGGAAGTTACGCCTTAACCGTTAGCAGCCACACGGGGCGTATTCTTCTTGCGGAAAGAGTTTTACTCGTCTCGGCTAAAATCTTTCCGTTTTTCAGTTGTAATTTATTTTTCAGTTCAATTGTAATTTTATATTTTTAGATTATTTGTAAGAACTGAAAATACATATGAGTTCGTAGGATTCCCGTGTAATTTTACACCAAATATCCAACAAATAATATGTAGTAGCATCAATAGCTTACCTTTCTAATTAACTTCCTCCCACTATTTGATAATGTTATAACGTATAAGCATAAACGTATCTAATTACAGAAAATACTATAGTTTGTTACAGAATCGTTCTGTTGAAATTTGTAGCCGTTAGATTATATGTAACCGTCATGAATAGTTGATCTAACCGTTACAACCCCGACGAAATAGTTCCGTAACAAAATTGTAGAATCTCCCTCTAATTACATGTATTACGAAATTAAATGGCAGTTATCGGAGTTTAGATAACTTAAATAACATTAATGCATGTGGCCAAACTACTATTAAGATGACGATGTCGTTGCTGGGGCACATGTTGTGTTAAGCATTGACTTTTATTTATTTATTTTTAATTTTCTTGGCAATTAATTTTGTGAATGGGAGATGTATTCAAACTACTGTAGTATTGACTAATATGATGTATGCCAATTTAATTTTTTTTTAAATATAATTAACCAATTAAATTAGAAAAATTTGAAGTTATTTTGTAATTGTTGCTTACTATGTAGTGTAGTTTCTATATGATTGATTATTGTACGTACTTACATAATTTTAGATGTATAAAATCTTTATATTCATTTAAAAAAATTAATAAATTTCACGTGGAATTTTGGTGATAATGATCTGGATTCAGGTTAATTATTCCATCTGAATTATATTAATCAACACTATAATATTTTTATTTCTAACAACAGGCCAATATTATATTCAACCTGAATACTTATGCAAACTCTGGGATATATATTTGTGTTTTCAAGTGCTTTTGGCCTCAGCTCAACCTAAACGTACATAGTTGATTTCAATTTTTGATCAATTTGATATAATTGTACTTATGTGTAGATTGAATAAATTAGTACATTCATTAACTGAGTTAACTATTAAAGTGATAAATTAATTATTAGATGGCTCATATATAATAAATTATTGGTGAGCGTTCATAAAAAAAAAAAAAAAAAAAAAAAAAAAAAAAAAAAAAAAAAAAAAAAAAAAAAAAAAAAAAAAAAAAAAAAAAATAGATGAGTGGGATTTTAGTTTTATCACAAATTTTTGTATGAGACGGTCAAACATTAAAAACGGGGCGATCCATCGTTCTTGTTCTATGAAATGTTATATTTTTATTTTTGTTATTTTTTAGAACATAACATTTCAGTTTAACATTATAAATATATATATATCCAAAAAATATAACTGCCAACCATTTAAAAAACTGTACAATTTATATTTAATTAGGTGTATGAATTAATTAGTCACAACTACTATCAATATATAAAGAAGTTAAAAGAAAAAGTGAGTTCAACATCACATGCGACTGTGAGAGACACAAGTGATACTCTAGAAACTCACATGATCATCATATGCAATGTCTATCATTGTACAATCGCCTGTTAGTTACCAATACATAGCTTTGTTATTTAATATGGTCAAAAAGTATTAAAGGGACCTGTAAATTAAAAATCATATACTTTTGCAAAGGAGCTTATTATAATACTAAGATTAATTTTATTTTGATGTCATTAATTTTTTGTAATCAAAACAAGATTGTTAATTAATCTATAAATTTTAGGAATGAAATTAAAATTAGTTGCACTAACGTAAACGTGGCTGACTAAATTCCCATGCATCTAGGGGTGAGCAACGGTGAAAAACCGCACCGAACCGCAAAAAACCAAAAACCGAACTTGGCCAAAAAAATAACCAAACTGCGCCGCAATTTTAGAAAAACCAAACCGAAATCTTGATACACTAAATTAACCGAACCGAACCGAACCGCACCGAAATGCACGGTTCAGTTCGATTTTCGGTTTTATCCCAATTTTTTATATATACTTGGTGCGCTTCGGTGAAAAAGTCGCACTGAACCGAACAAAGCTGAAAACCAAACTTATGAAAAACTATGACTGCACCGCACCGCAATGAAGGAGAAAAGCAAAACCGAACCGAACCGAACTGAAAGTTTTTTTTACATTAAAAAAACCAAATCGAACCGAATTGCACAGCTCAGCCTAGTTTTCAGTTTCGGCTCGATTTTGCTTACCTCTACATCACATATATCAAGAATCAGATGAAAGTGTGGTGCTTTAGGTGCCCAATTTCTGGGGACCACGCAACCATATTGCATGAACCATGTGATATAGCAATAGCATGAAATTTGGTGACACACACACACACATAAATATACATAATTTTTACAAACACATATATATATGAACAAAAACGCGTGGTTTCTATTAAGCAAATAGAAGTATTGGATCACATATTGAAGTATTGATGGAATATGTCATTTGCACTTCAAATCCATTTATGTTCACCATTTTCATCATCGTCTAAGTGGACTGGGGAAGGTCGATTGTTACACGAAATAATTCCACGATCAATCATAAAAACCGACCCCAAACTAACAATTAACTCACAAAATTCAAACAAATTTGTAAGATCCACAAAGCTTGCCTTAAACTAAAAATTTTAAATGACGATCCGTTTTCTCATATATGTCGTTTAAAACTATAAATGGCGCTAACCTAAATGCCATTAGTAAAGAACAAGTTATTCAAATACTCGATTTTCTTGGAACGTTATTTGCAACACAAGTCACTAAATCGAAATTGCTCACAGATCTGTTGTGTCCACATTAGGATGTGCACACGTGCCAAGATCTTGTGAGATATTCAATCACATATCTACCGTGTTAGTATGCATATTAATCTTTTTTCACATTAATTGTTGGACATATTGACTACCGGTCAACAAATATTACCACTTGGTTGAGAAATCGACATGATTGTCTGTAACTGGTATTGGGCCTGGGCTCGAAAGAATTCATGGCATTCCATTATATTCGACAACAAATTCTTGTTCCAGTGGGCTGGGCTGTATTGCAGATTTTGTGAATATATAATGGGCTGGAAGCTGACTCTTTTCATGTTTTAATCGGTCCATACCATTCCTGGCCCATTTTCTGCGACGCTGCTGCTGCTGCTGCTCTACTTCTTCATCATCTTCATCAATGAAGGTCGACTTGCCTAGAAAGGAGAACCTGTAATCGGTATGCTCTGCTTCATAGAACATTTATGGCTACACCTAAAGTGAAGTTTGATTGATTAGAAGGCAATAAACGGAAAAGGTACCTGTCAACGACAAACATTGGTATTGGTCAAACCTCTGGAACTCCTTCAATGGCGGTGGAAAAGGACAAGCTGAGACACGGAGCACTAGCTGCAGTCACCTTCTTCATTGCACTCGCAATATCTTTTCGCATAATCAAGCAGCTCTTCATAAACGTCAGACGAAAGAAATCGTGTTATTTGAACACAGAACACAAACCTCAGCACTCGTTCAAGCGTGTCTTGGCGGACAACTCGTATTCTCAGTTCAAACACCTAAAGCTCCAAACAGCAGAATCACAGTCCGAAGGTAGGATTGAAAGAACTCTTTCGCAATCATTTATACAGTTTTCTAATTATTATTATTATTATTATATTTTTTTTTTTGCAATTTTGGTAGAGGAGTATTCAAATTTGCATCCGTATAAGGGGTCGATTTCCGAGCTAATCAAGGACCCAGATATCGGGTTTTTGGAGCTTCTTAGCGAGTGCGAGGGGAGGAATTTGGAGATGAAAGGTTCTCATGTGTGGGTTGAGACTGAAACACAGTTGAAGGAGGTTGTGGAGGTTTTGAGCAATGAGAGGGTCTTTGCTGTGGATACCGAGCAGCACAGTTTCAGGTCCTTCTTGGGTTTCACGGCCCTCGTTCAGGTTCGCTTTAGCATTTTGACGAGCGTGTGTGTGTGCTAGTGGCCTGATGATGTAAATACCTCGCTCCTTGAGTGTGTATGCGTGTATGGCTGACCTGATAACTTTCATGACAAACTATGGCTAATAACTTGTGGTGGTTAGTGGATTGGCATTTGATTTTTATGCACATGTTATTTCAAATGATCACTCTGCAGAATGTGGTATCAAGTAATGTAAAAGTATATGTCTTACTCTATGCACTTTGCTATATATTAATTCATAGTGGTTTTCTTGTATAGTGGTTTTATTTCTTAGACATGATATGCATGTTCAGCTTTCTTGGTTGGATTTTAGAGGGCATTAAATCCCACTCCCTCAAACAATAAATGTAATGAAGAAAAAGTCCTCAATTTTGTGCTTAAGAAGAAAACGCAACTTGTTGAGGGTGCTATTTCAATGTTGCATTCCATTATAATTTTGTTTTTGTGCTGAGTAATTGATTATTTTGTGTTCCCTTGTACGAAAATTGTGAAGATATCCACCATGCGTGACGATTATTTGGTGGACACAATTGCCCTGCATGATGTGATGCGGCTTCTTAGGCCAGTGTTTGCTGATCCTGGAATATGCAAGGTGACGTTGCAATTATTCTCGTTCTGAATTTTCTTTAGCCATGTGTCTGCGTCCATTTGGCATTCGTATTTCGCATGTGACATGTAGCCACATGTTACATGAGCAGTTTTGTGGTATCTTGAAAGTTGTTTGATAGTATATATGAGTGATGGTTTCTTTGTGATTCTTTGTTTGTTTTGTTAAAAATTCTCTTTGTGATAGGTATTTCATGGGGCTGATAATGATGTTCTTTGGCTGCAAAGAGATTTCCACATATATGTTGTCAATTTATTTGATACAGCGAAGGTGAATCATATGTTCTGTATTGTCATGCTTATCTATATTCTGATTCTCTGCCTTGGTTCAGAATTCCTAATATAATAATTGTAAATTTAGCGAACCAGAAGGAATGAACAGCATAAGAATTCTTCATATTTGCTTCCGGAGTACAGTTGACAACTATAATTTATGTCAATAATGGCTAATGGGTATATATTAATGTTTTGCAGGCATGTGACATCTTATCAAAACCACAAAGATCATTGGCATATCTGCTTGAAACATACTGCAGTGTTTCCACAAACAAACTGTTACAGGTTTGATTACTAATTTCACTTTCGTGTACCTATGTTTTATATTATGTTTACTTAGTATGTTTACTAAAATAAACTCTAGACATACATGGAGAAGTGGACAAGGAAAATGTTTGGAGGTTAACCATACTCATTTGAAGAATAAGCTTCTTATCTGTATCCCTTCTTTCAAAAACTTTGTTCCTTCATTTCGAAATAACACTGATAAAGCATTATTGTATGGACAAAATGTGTTTTTGCTCTTTTCTTGTTTTGTATGTGTTATTCTCGAGTAAGCTGTTGACTTTGCTGGCACTAGTGATGTGGCTGTACCAAATGATCTGACCACCTTGAATTGTGTTCTTTATTCCTCGTCTGCTAACCTTAATCTTGGTCTCGGTTTATACTTTATAGTACCCAAAACATGCTAGCAGTAGAAAATGTTTCAATACAGACAAATAACCAAGTACAGGGCATTCAATATAATAAATATTGGTAAGAACTTCCCACGAAGGCCACTATTATTAATGAGATGAGTTGTACATGAGCTAGGGAGAACGAACTGATCTTTGATTCGGGTCATTGGCCTCTTATATCTATGCTGGTCTGGATTGTGATAAAATAGAATAATTATCTTAAATGAGACATGGTTGTGGTGGGTTGGTGGTTCATTTGCATCCTTATAAAAGTTGATTTTCTCTTTTTTATGGCAACATCGAGGAAGCTGTTATAATGTGAATTGTAGCTGACTATTACCACTCGAATTGTAGAGAGAAGACTGGAGACAACGTCCCATGCCTATGGAAATGATACAGTATGCCCGAGTAGACGCACATTATTTGTTGTATATTGCATATTGTCTTTGTTTGGAGCTCAAACAGAAGAATAACGGTAAGTGATGTACTTCATTATGAGTATTCAGCATTCTTTCATTTTTTATTTAACTCCATAATAGAGCTTTTGAAAACTTTTCCTTCTCTATATTTCATACCTTCAACATTCTAAGAAAATAAGTGCATCAGAAAGATCGTCTCCTGGTGATGAATTCCATTTTCTTCTTGAGGCCAGCCGGCGTTCGAATGCAACATGTTTGCAACTTTTTGCGAAAGACATTGAAGTGTATCCAGGAGAATTAGCTGCATCATCAATAGTTTCTCGTTGCTTGAATGATCAAGGGACTATTTCATCCAGTCTTTGTGATACAAAGGTATCTATTTATTGTGAGGATAATATAAGAACATTGTTCAGCATGGCGAAGGATAATACTGATTATGAATTTTTGGGTTTAGTTTCAGGAACTTATTAGACGGCTGTGCTTGTGGAGGGATATAATGGTTAGTCCAAACATGTCTTATCATATGCTCTATAAATTCAATTAATTGTTCTCTTACTGTATAATATTCTCCCATTTGGTTCCATAATGGATGTACACTTTGGTTCGGAGCAATATATAGTAACGTGTACAATGCTCTTTATCATAATATTTTTCAAGATATGCAGGTCTATCAATCAGACCAACCATGAAGATTGTATCTTTTGAGATTTGTGATTTAACTATCAATCAATACATTTATGCACAACTAGGTCCTCATGCCTGTCTCCCAGTTACCAGATAACACATTATGATATTAATATTATTACTCAAAATTCAATTTGTAATAATTCTTTCAGGCCCGTATGCATGATGAAAGCTTGAGATTTGTTTTGTCGGAGAACGCAATCATTGCACTAGCATCCCAAGTCCCCACAACCGAAAAAGATATTTGCAGCTGTATATCCAAAGCCGACCAAGATAATGAATCTGCAGCTACTGTTCCTCTCCAATCTCCATCTCCTGTAGTTTGCTATCATGTGGAGGACCTTCTATTCTTGATCGGTGAAAGCACAACCTTTTCTGAAAATATATTCAAAGTTTTCATCCACCGGCACCTGGGACCCTCCGGTAGTTGTCCTCTTTCTGCATATAATTATGCTTTGTTGTCCAAAACTAGCCTGGGACTAAACCGGAAATCCATCTCGAGCTGTAACGGATTTAGGGCTTCCAAACAGGTGGCAAAGAAGGCTTCTAGAGAGCTCTTTGTTCAGAAGTTCTCGTGCAAATCCCCAGTTTATCACAATTGCAAGATCTATGCAAACGACGGGAGATTATTATGTTATTGTGACCGCAGAAAACTTGAATGGTTAGACAACTATCTCTAAAAATGCCCAATACCTTTAGTAAACTCTTTCTACTTGTCTGAACTTGTTAATATCCTTGGGCATGATTATGCAAAAAAAACAAAAGAAAACCCTGAATCTCTGGTAGTTACACGAATAAAGTTCCTCTCTTAAAATTTACAAAAACCCTCAACTTAACATTTTGCCCCCTTCATAAGTGGAAAACCCCCTAACCTTTATAGTAACATCACAGTCGCCTGCTTAAGTTTAAGACAATATAAAACTTACCATAATTTTGTTTGTCACTTTTTTTTTTTTTGGCATTTCTGGAAATATTTTCCCCTTCTTTTCGGATAATGACCTTTATGCCCATTTTCTTTAGGTACCTCAATAGGAATCTAGCTAAACTCGTGGAGGACGATCCCCCTTCCATCATGCTCCTCTTCGAACCCAAGGGACGCCCAGAGGATGAAGATAACGACTTCTACATACAGAGTAAGAAAAACATTTGCGTTAGCTGTGGCGAAGGAAACCACTACTTGCGGTATAGAATCATACCTTCATGCTACAGAATTCATTTTCCCGAGCATTTAAAAAGTCACCGTTCGCATGACATCGTCCTCCTTTGCGTTGATTGTCACGAAACCGCTCACGCTGCTGCCGAGAAGTACAAGAGGCAGGTAGCGGCTGAATTCGGAATCCCGTTGTTCGTTCGTAAAGTGGTTGACTTTGACAAGAGTCAAAATGCGAATTCATCATCTTTGCCTGTTATGTCGTCTGAGGAGATTGGTGTTTCGCCTCTACAGTTGCGTACAGCTGCTATGGCCTTGCTGCGCCATGGCCCACAGATGCCGTCTGAGCGTCGTGAAGAATTAGTGCAGGTAGGGAAAGCTTATGGTAATTGGCATTAATATTTGAAACCTAAAATGTTTCCTTTTTCACACGTTATAAGTTGATATAGTTACACAGTTCTTGTGCTTACTGCATTACACTAATTTAACATCCTCGGAAATTTAGCTCTGAGGTAAGGTTCAAATGTGATACTAAGCCAAAGTGCCAAACATAGTATATTTCCAGCTCAACCTTGTATCTGTAATAATAAAAGAGGAAAGAAAAGAAACAAAAATGTTCTCACATTGACTTTGCTGACTTTTGTTTGGCCAAAGTCATCATAATGATTCTGTAATTAAGAAGTTGCTTGTCATTTTCCCGGGAAGGTAATAATGCTCGGATAGACTAGTTCTTCTCCCCATGTCTGTAGTCTCTTTACTGTTTCAACTGTTGCTTTGAAAGTAATGCTCAAGTTTTTTCTATTAATTAGCATCATCGAGAAAATCATGCTCTAATTATCCAGGCACCGTGTCTGTGTTTGACCCCATTTCTTCCACTTTCAGATAATATTGAAGCTAAGTAAAGATGATAGCATTGTTTATGAAAACAGTTATTACAATCTCAGAAATCATATTATTTATTTTAACGAGAACTCCATACACGACTTCACATGTTCTTTCTTGTTGTGCGCAGATTGTCAGGACATACTACGGAGGGAGAGAAATATCAGATGAGGATCTCGAGAAGGCTTTGCTAGTTGGAATGACTCCTCATGAAAGAAGAAAATTTGAAAAAAAGAGAGGTTTTACGTTTAAGTATCTGCAGAGAGGAACCAATTCAGATGACGTGAAAGAAAATAATGTCTCTAAGTCAGATCAACTGAAGGGTGAAAGTTTTGATTCTTTAAGGACCAATTGGACAGAGACTGATGAAAAACAAGATTGTGAGGATATTTTAATGGCGGGGGATCCTGATGGTGGAAATTTATCTAATATGACGACAAGCCAAGTGGATGAAAGAGATTATTTGGTGAAGCAGGAATCAAAATTATCGTTATTAGGACACGGGCCCCACGGGAAGCAGGTAGTCGCGCATCTGCTGAAGGAGTACGGTGAAGACGGGGTCCGAGAATTTTGTCAGAGATGGAGGCAGATTTTCGTTGAGGCACTTCATCCTCGATTCTTGCCTGCTGGTTGGGATGTTATGCACAGGTATTCTTAATGTTCTCTATCCTTGAATGATGGATTGTTTTGCCAACTTAAAAGTGCAAACGTATCGTGTCTTTCGGATGAACAGGTCAATTCTTCTAAATTTGGGCTTTATTGAACTTTTAGATATTTAGAATTTGTTATTACACAAAAGATAATTAAGCATGTTCTGAAGAAGTTGCAAATTTGCCTTTCCATTGAGGAAAAAAAAAGTCATTTTTCGGCAAGCGCAAGTCATATGTAGAAAAAGAGCATCAAGAACAAGAGAGCAGGTCATTCGTTGTGTGATTAAACGAATTCATAGCTTCCATGTCCATTATATTAAACAGTATTTGATCTATTTACATGCAGTAGAAATCATCAGACGAACTTAATCTTGATACAGAGTTGTTTCTTCAACTGTTGAAGTTTGACCACGACTAGAGTTTTTGCTAGAAAACTGTGAAGCATCAATAATTTGTTTGCCTACTGAAACAATTTTGCTTTCGTCAATGGATTTGAGTTTGACGTTGGACACTTTTTTGCCAGTGGTAAGAGAGATTTCGGAGAATTCAGTGTATACAAACCGACCAAAAAGGCTTCAGGCATTGCTGCAGAAGGATAGAGTCCAAACAATTTCATTTATTGTTTTTATTTCTTCTTTTACTTGGGAAAATGCTTACATTTTTTCACTGTTCTTCCATGGAATGTTCTAACACTGTAATGTTGGTTGAAGAGGAATACTTATGGTACTTAGTTTTTACTTATTCTCTTGGGTTGAAGGAAGTTGAGAGGATTTAATGAGGGCTGTAGATTTAACATTTCCAAGATCCTCTGTATAAACAGGCAACTATCGATTCTGAATAAGAGACGCTTATCATTGATGCTCATTCCTTATAAATGTCAGTACCTTCAATGTACAAAGTTCACCTTAGCATTGTGTGTTCAAAAATGATTTGGGAGGTTAGATCATTAGCATGAAAAAGTTTCATCAAGAACCTGTTTGAAGAGCCCTCACAGAAAGTTCAATCTGCCAAAGTGAAAATGTTTCTAAAGGGTAAAAAAAAACTGGCATATTTTGTTCACATTATAGAAAGCTCGATCTACCAAACCGAAAATAGCTGAAGGGTCAAAACAACTGGCATAGTTTTATTCACATTAGACAAAACGCGTACCAGTTGCTAGTTGAGCCTAAAGTAATAACTGCGACTTGTGATCAACACCATTGAAGATAAAAGTCCCGCTCAATGGAACAAATTGTTTTCTGATGAGCTGCATATCAGAAGAAATGTCTCAAATTAGAAGCTCAACACATATGTAGTGTTTAATCGGGGATCAACTTACTGAACAATTTTTCGATTTGATGTTGTGCAAACATGAAAAACTCAATGAAAGCAGGGATGGTGAGAATTAGTCATGTCAAATGTAACAGAAAAAGTAGGATATTCTTTTTTTGTTTCTAGATTTTTAGTTCATATTTGAATGTCTAGTTGAGGTAAATGGCTTAAATAATAATTATAAATTAAAAATGATGGTAAACAATATTAACTAATAACTATAAATTAAATATGAAGGTAAACAATATTAACTAATAATTATAATTTAAGATGTGGAGTTAATATGTGACATATTTATTGTATATCAGTTGTAAACAATATAAAATTATCTTGTATAAAATAACATAAAAAAAATATATGTTTAAAATATTAAAAGCACCTAAAATATTATATACCGTATGCAAAGTATCTAAAATTTTATATATCAATAAATTATTGGAAGATGTGAAGTCACCTAAAGTTTTACTAAACTATTTTGTAAAGAAAACTTGTCTAAAACTATTTAGAAAAATCTTGCCTACAATATATTATTCTATTTCCAAAAGATTATTCTATTTCCAAAAGATGATGATAAGTATAAGTTCGAATTTTAAAATCCACGTGAGTATTAATTTTGTGATCCGTGTACTATTCAAATTACTAATTATGTTCATTTCCTGTGGGCTTCATATTGATTTATTGATTTTATTTTATTTCCATACAAAGTTGATTGTCTCATTTTGTTTTACCATATTTTCATGGAGATTTAACAAAGTCGGTTGCATTTATAAAACGATTTGGAAATCAACATATAATTTATAATGGAGTTTTCAAAATTGTGTACTATTAACAAATGATATATTATCATTAAATACTTTTTCTTTTTTAAATGCACAATTACTGAGACTGAAAATTTGAAAATTATTTTATCTTTTTGAAACCGAGTTTAGAAAAAAATAGTAGATTGGCAAACGAAAAATTGATAAACATTACCAAGTTTATTATCACACGTTTCAAATAAATAAATTGTGATGATTAGTGGAAAATGATATTTAAAGAATAGCGTTCATTTTTTGAAAGACACAAATATAAAGACTGATATTCTAAAACTTTTATTATAGTTTGAATTGATAGAGATTTAAATGTTGTTCATTTTTTCTAAGAAAAAAAAAATAAAGATGAAGAAATGAACCATTAATAGATCTTAGCTAGAACTTTTAAATAATAAAATGAATTAATGCACGAAATTTAAGGCAATATCTAAAGTTGTATAATTTAATGCAATATCAAAAGTTGTATAATTTTTTTTTTTTAAAAATAAAAATTAGAAAAAAAAATAATAAAACTTTCTATTTATGGATTGCATTAAATTCTCTCATATTTTTTTGCTACTATATTTGGTAAATGATAATTCTTATTATACAGATACAGATTTGAATGTCTAGTCGAGGAAAATGGCAACACATCGAGACCAAACAATGTTTGCAGCAAGACTGCACTTGAAGAGATTGAGAAAAAAAATAAATAAAATTAACCAACCTTGATCACTTCCTGTGATGCTATTCCTCCGATAAAGGCGGCCACCGCATGAAGCTCTGAAGCACCATAACGACACATCTCGTTAATAAGGTCCTCTGTCAAGGTTCATCCATTGCAACCCAAATCGTCAAGTAGGGAAACAGCTGTTGTTTTCAGTCTAGAAATATCCTCATCCATCCCACTGCATAATATCAGCCATAGTTATATACGCATTAGGTATTAATTCTAAATAGAATATGTAGGTGGATAACAAAGGGTCAGATTTTTACCCATCAAATTGTCCAGGGAAATTGTTATAGTTTGCAGCAAAACGATCTACAGCTCGTAGAAGGATGTAAAATCCGACGGCCGTACTGCAGCAAAATGAGAATGTGTTACAACAGTTAGTGATGCAAGCAACAACGACAAATAACAGTAAAGGTAAGATCTATAAAGTATAAACTATAAACTATAACCAAGAAAAGCATATACGGATATTGTACTACCAATTTGAAGTATTAAAGCAGCAGGTACTAAGACTTCGAATAAGGCATCCAATAGGGTCTACAAGACCAAAACACATCTAACACTGTCAAGAAGTAACATTCAGGAGGTATAATAAGGGAAATGTACCAGTAGTCTTCATCGGTTAGAAACTTTTGCAGCTCCATTTGAACCGGCGAACTGTACTCGTCTTCAATAGTGCAGTATCGGCATACCTAATAATGGATAAGATATAAAATAAAATAAAATAAAAAAATTACAGTAGTTTAGTTTTTGAAACTCAATGAAGATGGCAAAAAATAAATCTGGAAAGTCAGAGGGGACTACAAATAAAAATACCCTCATCATGAGGGGCACAGGGCCCGCATACAGGACATTGAAAGCAATGTGATCCTTCATTTCAAGATGAATATTCAGTTAAACTCAAACTCACAGTTCTCGTGGAGCATTACTTATATCAGTTATAAGAGTGAACAAAAAACTATGCAAGGTACTCTTTGAGATGAGTTTATTGTCAAAACAAAAAACAACACATGTATGGTTCCTCAACCGATGAGTGAAAGCATGATAAAAATAGGCTGTGCCTGAAAACTCAGTAATTGGCTGACTAAAGGCCCATCCTCTGATTCCATGGAAAGAGCTGTAGGACTAACTTGAAGCAGGGTAAAAGTTTTTTGCACAAACCTTAAGCTTTCGAGCATTTTTGCAGAAATTTTTTATGGTCGTCTTTGGGATGCTGTGTGGATCTCTTCCTATTTTCTTTAACAGTTTCTTTGTGTATGTCTCCATAACAAGAAAATCAGCCTCTGCCTTAGCCTGATATATTTTTTGCAGGTTGACATATAACCTACAAGAAAATCAATAAATAGCCAATCGTCAACATAAGACTCACAAGAACACGAAAAGATGATAAATAGTAATTCAAAGGCACATGCCACTGACTCTGTAGAAGATGTCATGTCGGGGATTGCTCCCTCCAGAGGAGCCTCTCCACAACCTTCATTAGCTATAAATTCCTGAAGCTCAACCAAGAAGAAGACAAACCAGAAAACACATAACAAGTGACGATGGTGCCATAAGACATCCATTCTTCTTCGAAGTGCACTTAAATGGGATGATCATAATCAGGCTCAGATGACAGTAGTGCCAACTGGAACATTTAATTGCTACCGCCAAAACACTAATTTCGAATAAAACCATCACCTCTGTGCTAGGACCTCATCTTGGATGTGCATTGATATATAATGGGCCAGATCTTTGTATGCTACATTTAGGGTCTGCTGGTTTCACTTACATATGTCATCTTCAATGCCAATTGCCAAATTTATTTGGATTAGCCATATCAGAAATTTCAAGCAAGATGCGGTGTGTTGCTACTCTATTATCGAGCCAAGAGCCTAATCAAGACAATGGGTATTTAAGTTGATAATTAAAAGTTAACAAATACATTTCATTACTAAATTGATTTTCTACCAACTTCTTATTGAACACTTCAACTACTTCTATTTCTTCACTGTATTCATTTTATACAGAACATAGACCTTAAAAGAGACTGCTACGGCAAAAACTGCCAAAACGTAAAAACATATCTAATTCAAACATATTCATTTATTAACACTAAAACTTAGGTCTTGGTGTTTAAAAACTGGAAATACTTGAAACACAAAAAAAGTTCACAAATGAAATGAAACATGAACATAATAATAACACCTTCAAGGCTGCCACCAACACCGAAAAATCGGATGAATTGGAATTAACTTCAGTGCAGCTATTATTAATAATCTGATGTAGTTCTGGACCTGAGATGAGAAAATTGAGTGTTGACCTCAGAACAGCTATCACTAGATCGGTTAAAAGATCAAAAGATTCCAATGGTTACACAAATTGCTACAATTGAACCCCAGGTATATGGAACAAAGGCTAAAACTATGTAAGATTGTAGGCAAACTCATATCGGTAGCAACCTAACTCAAGTATGCAACTCGGGATAAACAAACTGAATAGTACTATCCAGCAAATAAATGAGTGTAACTTACTAATTCCTTGAGGAGCAAATACTTAGAAGGAAGCTTCAATGGCTTCTTTGTAGTTGTCTTCATCAGATGCAATCATCTTGGCCTTAATTAAATCCTAAAATGCCCATCCAAAAACCAATCACACAACCTCAGCAGAGGACATAAAGAATAAAGGATTTTTAAATAAATTTTCAAGTTAGAGAAAAACTTATTATGCACCTTATATAATTTTTTCTCTTCTCTTGTTGATGGAAGGTTTCCATTATGCGTTTTGGCCCACTCATCTGCCACCTTAATGAGAATTATAACATATGGAGTGTGTTTATGAACAACAGGATCGGATGTATCGAAATCTATAGTTTCTGAAAATATGTCAATAAGATACTAAATAGTTAATATTTGAAACAGATTGTAGGTAAAACATAAACATATACAAATTAAATAGTGGAAGACAATATCAAACCTTTTGAGTTCTGGCCATGGGTTATTGAGCCGCAGATCATCCAGAAAATGATCAGGCTTCGATTCAATCACTGCATGTTCCTGTAGTACAAAGGGGATTATAATCCATGCATTAACAAGTCGATTCTGAACCTCCTTAAAATAGCTGTACTTTTTCTCAAAAAACTATATAATAATTTGAATAAGTAGTTCATCATGTCTATGGGCACCAAAAGATCTAACACTTCGACAAAAGTTTTCTCCTGCAGGAGCTACTTCCACGCATGGCTTGTACTGTAAATGGTCATGACAACAAAAGACAGATTCTATCTGAACAAAAGTAAGTATGAATAAAGCATGTAAAACTACCTTAACACTGATCCTAATCAAACCAGTAAGCCCATAAGAGCGTGCAAATATAAGCATTACATTTGCAGCACGGCATATTCTGTCCAGCTTCACCATCAAATGTTCAACAAGCTGAAGAAGAGCGCAATTAAAGAACCATGTCAGCAGCTAATAACCACAGGAAAGGAGCATCAAGGAATCAAATTGTATGCTAATATGCATTGGACTATATTAATCACATTTAAGAATGCTATCAGAATAACTTAAAGGGAAAATCCACCAACAGACATCATGTGACATAAATCAACATAAAACCACAGCTGAATGAAATTAATTTAACAGATCGCGCGGAATTGCAAATGCAGCATGCCAACTAAGATAGCTAAGATAAAAGCATTATGTAGTTGGACGGTTCGTGGAAAGTGCATTCATCCTGACCTGCCTGGCAACTACCAATGTGAACTGATGAAAGAACGAAGGGTTAGATTCGATGAGATTTTCGGGATATTCTTCAATAAATTTGGCCTTCACTGCATCATTCAGCTCCTCTAGAAAAGCACACACAGTTTTCGCCTTGGATTTGCCGACACTCGATTCATCCACTACACAGGCATTAGCCAAAATAATCGCATTATACACAGGAAATTAAAGGAAAACAAAATAAGTAAACTGGTAAACATCGAGCAGATTGAGCAAGAAGAAGAAAAAGGAGATATACCCATGAAATTGTTCCCAAGGTCTCGCAGTTCAACTTTAGAGCCATCAACAACAGTAATACTTCCAACACCGCCAAGAACCAGATTTTTCAGTGTTTCTGAGCCGGTAGGGCCACAGTCCAATAAGCAGATGCTTGATTTCTCGAGGGCTGCTTGTCCTTGCTCACCCCAAATTCTGCAGAAATTCTCAAATTACTGGGGAGATTGCGAGCGGTTTTTTCTTCTTTTGCAAAAGGTGCAGGAGGAGGCTTCTGAGAAGCGAGGTAATGTTGTTGTACCTGAGCTGACGATCGTATTTGGTCTTGGGCTCCGCCATTGATGATTTGCTTTGTTGATACGCAGGAGTGAGATTTTGCTGGGCCACTACAAGAGGGGAAAAAGAAAGATAAGTCTTTGGAAGGGTCTGTTTGATTTCCCACGTATTTCTTAATATTGACAATTAGTAATTACAAAAAGGGCTGCAAACAAATCGAACAGTTAGTTAATGAGTGCTCGACTTGAATTCGAGCATGTCGAATTCGATTCAAATCAAAGTTTAAGTTTGAAGCTTGTATACGAAGTTACAATCACTTAAATATATGTGAAATTATCTATATATTTCTAATTATACATTTTTTAATTAAAATTTCGACTATAGGTCAAACAAATTTAAGTCAATATCGAGTTTATGTGTTTTATAGTCACGCAGAGCTGACATGGTTGTTATGCTCATTACTAAACTTGTTCAAATGCTCGTCTTGTTGAGATCAACAATTAGAACTCGATAAAATTTAATGTTCAACTCAACTCGATCCAGCTGCACTTATAATTTATGAGTACTTTGAATAGTAATGATTGACTTTACAACATTTCTATGTTTTCCAATTATATACAAATCACGAGACTACCTAAATTTGAAGTATCAATCATAGTTTCTTGACCCGGACTAGCCTGGCGGGTAGACCTGAAGCCGGAACTGATCCAGGTGGGCTATTTGGACCAGGCAACAAAGGGATCAAAACCCAATCAAACCGGTCTTAATTCGGCCGACCCGAAACATTGACTCGGCCGGGTCAAATTGGTTGACCCGGCCCATATATATATATTTTTTCTTAATTATCTTTTTTTTTTTAAAAAAATAAAACTATGTATATATGTTTATATGGTAAATATTATCATGAGATACATATTATTAACACTTTAATATACAAATTTTATACACATTACATTATTTTGTTATTTTTATGTATATTTATATGTCAAAAATATTCTAATATAATTTTAAAAAATTTAAAATTAATTATTTGGTTCAACAATTAACTCGGCGACCTGACCTCTCCGGGTTTAAAAACTATGGTATCGATAGTCCGGGTTTAAAAACTATGGTATCAATGTAACACTATTGTTATGTCAACAGACAAGTAATATTTAACCCTCCAATTAAGAGCAAAATTGAAGTTTCAGTACTTTTACATGGGAAGATAATCAATATATATAATTATAGGGGTCAAAATGCTATTTATCCTTCTTTGTCTGGATTCGGTTTTCCATAATCCGAGCAGAACTTCCGATTCGCAGTCGCTCTCTTCTTCTTCTTTTGCATCTGCTGAGAATTGAGATCACACACTGAGCTACGGAGAAAGAGAGACGCAAACAAGAAAAAGATATATTTGGAAAAAAAAAAAAAGAAGGCAGAGGAAAAATGGCAGTGCGAACTAGGTTTGTGAAGGCAGCTCTTGGTTTAATGGCGATTTGCTTGGCGGCATACATAGTGGGGCCCCCTCTGTACTGGCACTTAATGGAGGGGTTGGCCTCGGCCTCCGCCTCAGCCACTTGCCCGCCCTGCAACTGCGACTGTGATTCTGTGCCCCTTCTCTCCATTCCTCAAGGTACCATGTGAACATCGAGTTAGATCTGTGTCGATCTTTCTGTTTCGAGCGTTCATTTATGGGTTAATAATCTAGGTATCGCGTTCACTCTGCCTAAAATCACATTTTGGGTGCGATGTATGATGTTCTGTTTGATGTGTGCGTGAGTTTCTATCTTGATTTTGGTTTTTTGTCGGAGTTTGATTGGTGGGCAGAGCCATTCTTAGGCGTCGCGGCGTAATAATGAATGCAAGTGACTTTGGGTTTGTCTTTTTAGATTTTTCAGTTGTGGTATGACTTTATGAAGAGGTGGGTTTTGGCTCCCTTTGTGATTTGTATCTCTCAGTGGGCTGTGTATGGCTGCGGTGTTTTTCCACGTTGAATGCTGAGCTGCATTTGATGTGGAAATATTTTGAGCTTCTTGCAGTATTGTAAAGATGTAAACTTGGCTGCTCTTTACTACCGCACCTGGTTGGAAAATTCGATTTGATTACCAAAATCTCATGATTGGATCATGTTTAGGTCATCAATGAGATTCACAAATAATCTAAGAAATAAAGAATGCCGAGCAAAATGCTGCTGCCCTGTGACTCAACATAGTCTCTTGTATGGTTGTACATTACATGTACATGCTAATTTTAAGAACTTTGTTTCTTTTGTCGGAATATTGTTAAAAGTACGTGTCAGAATGCAGTTGATCCATGTTATCAAATGATACCTGTATAATTTTTTCTGACTGAAGTGTTAATCTTGGAGTTTTTAATAAAAGAGGTTACTCAAAGATAGAACACGCATCCAGTTCTCAGAAGGAATAGTGTCTTGTGACTAAGTTCATTATACTAGAAGAGATTTAAAAACTGGAGTTGTTTGAAAGCTATTGGATTCAGTTACTGTGAAATTCTGTTATTCTGCAATTGGTGTAATTTAAAAGTAATTTATCTCATCATCATATTGAATTTTAGCCTATCCAATTAATTGTGTGTGTATACTTTCTCTTAGTTACCATGGTATATTTTTCTATGCTGATGCATACACTGCTATCATTGTTTGATTATTATAGTTGTGTGCTTTCTTTTCTAGGTGAAGTTTGTCGGGATGAGTTTCTTTCCCCCTTTTTATTATATTACGTAATTTCCGGTCATTAACATCATGTTTCCTTTTTTGTCTGATTCTCTTAAAGCCTACTTATAAGTATTTGTGTTTTTCCTTTCTTGCAGGGCTGAATAATTCTTCCTTTACAGGTAAGAATGTACGCTTTGTTTTAATCAGTTAATATCTTTCTCATATTCTTTATTTCTGTTTGTGATCTTTGTACCATTCTTCCCACGTTGTTCGTTACCATATGTAACTAAGCAGTATGAAACCTGGCCGAGTTTTTTTTCTGAAGCAGTCTGACAGAATTCTGAACTAAGCATTTTGCAGTGAATTTATATATTTAAATCCATTTTCTTGTTCTTTATTATACTCCACTGAGCAAAATATTTCGGATTAATTTTGTTCAAATTAAATAGGATCTTTTTCGTTTTGATTGACATTAATATTTGATCTAGTTGCGAATAAATATGGACTTTAAGTGCCTCTGTCCAAGATGGAGATAAATAAATGGTGAAGTATTCAATTGAAATTGGAGGGACAGAGTCAGTATGCAGCAAAAAAATGTTTAACAAACAAATGGATTACGAGTATGCATTTTGAGATCAGGATATTGAAATTTTTTCTGGAGTTATTTGACATAGGAACATTTGGCAATATAAGATTTCAATATGTAGTGCACATTAAAATTCTGAAAACAAGAACTGAAAATTTGATATTTGGTGAATATTTTCATGAATAGTTTCACATGCATTTTCCAACAAGAAAAAAAAATCAGTTTATTTTTATTTCTTCGGTATTTTGTTTGCCTTGCATGTCTGCGTAAATGTTTTTTTTTTTTT